GTGTGTGTGTGTGTGTGCATTATATATATTTATAACTATATGTGTGTATGTATGAGTATATATATATGTGTGTGTGTGTGTGTATGTGTGTGTGTATGTATGTATGTATGTATGTAAATGTATATTTGTATTTATATATGCATGTATGTATATATATATGTAGGCATGTATGGTACATGTGGGTGTGGGTGTTGATGTGTGTGTATCATGTGAATTTTAATGCATATGTATGTATTTGTATATGTATAGATATATATATGTGTGTATATATATATGTATATATATATATATCTGTCTGTGTGTGTGTGTGTGTGTGTGAAAATGTATATACTTATGTATACGCATATATATATATATGAATTGTGTATTATAGTAAGTTCGTTTGTGTATGCACATTAGTACGTGATTTGTTCATTTCTTGTTTAACAACCCTGGAATTGCGAACTTATACTCAGTACTCGCCCACAACGTACTGATGACATTTTTATTCAGTTTTGTCCATTCTAAACTATGGTATATATGTATATATATATATATATATATATATGGCTGTGTGTGTGCTTGTGTGCGTGCAGTGCTCGGATGTATTTTTATGTTTGTGTGTATGTCTGCATGTGTGTGTGTGCATGTGTGCGTGCATATATATATTTATTTATATATATATATATATGTGTGTGTGTGTGTGTGTGTGTATGTATACATGTGTATATATATATATATGTGTGTGTGTGTGTGTGTGTATGCTTGTGTGTGTTTGTGTGTGTGTGTGTATGCTTGTGTGTGTTTGTGTGTGTGTGTGTTGTAGGTCCGAAATCGTATTTCACACATGGATGCTTGCCTATCATGCGCTTCCGGCTTGGTAAATAACCGTTCGCACCAATTCTTCTCTAGTGCCCAGGCGTGGAAAATATGTATACATTCATTATAGCACCAGCAACCGGAATGTGTCACCGCTAGTGAAGTCCTCCATATATGTACCCCTATCTTTCCATGCTTGCCGGTCCCAAATAAAAAAATTGTCTTCCGAAGTTTGTCTCTATCACTCTGGCGTGTGTTTTATGTTTTTCTGTGTTCCAACTGTACTACCCACAGCCTGAATACATTACTACTGATAGGGTGCCCCCACTCTCTCTTGTAGGCTATTTTTAGAAAATGCTGATGTGAACAAATACTGACTCGTATACGAATACAGACGGTGGGCTACCGCAGAGGCTGAACCGCCGAGCCAGTCATGCGCATACGCATTCGAGAGATACCTCCGAGCACGCCGAACCGCAAGTTAGAAGATGTGGCAGCCACAGCTCGCTCAATAAAGATACCGAAAAGAGGTATGTCGCTGGAGTATGGGAACGAAAGCCCAATTGCATATTGTTCTGTCGTGAAGTATACGAGCCGACAAGAAGGATATGCTCTCCTTTACCGACATGGTAGAATTCAGATGCTGTTTGTTGCAAATGATTCTCCGTGTTGGTAGGGGTGTTTGTAGGATACGGGCTTTTGTGCTGAATGCGTCGCTCAGAAAAGCGAATACCAGATACCAGCATCACACCTTGTCAATCCTTGTGTGGTCCATGCGAGAATACTTGCATATATGTATGTTGTCCTGTACGGCTAAGACATGACTCATCGTCCCACATAGTCATAGCCAGCCGAGCATAGAAGCTTCATTCATTGACATCTGGCAGTTTGTGAATGGGACAGAAAACTCAAAAACGATTTATCGATGTGGTGTTCTGCACCAACACCATGATCTCGAATCATGCCCACGTCATATTTTCTGTTAAATACAACTCCAAACTCCCTAAAACCTCAAAACCCTACATCTTAAAAACCCCTAAAATCTGTTTCACAGACAAGGCCGGCATGTTCGATGGGCATTGTCTGTCGAGAAAGACTCGCAGGCGAAGAACGCCATCAAAAATCAGGACGACTTTGCAAACTTTTTAGATCGGGCACGGGTAGGAAAGGAGCGACGGAACAACGTCAAGCTACACAAACATAGGTGTGTATGAAAGGAACTCAGACATGGGCGTGCATGAAAGCTCCACAGACCTGGGCGTGCATACAACCTGCACAAATATAGCTATATATGATAGCAGCATACACACAGGTATGCATGAAACCTACAGAAACCTTTATGATGAAAATTATACAACCATAGCTATTTATGAGCGTTACACAAACGTAGATATGTATAATACCTACACAAATATCCACATATGAAACCTACACAAACAAAACCTATGTATGACAGCAACTTGATATGCATAGGCATGAATGCTACACAACTATACCTATGTATGAAGCCTATGTTAAGATAGGTAAAATATTTTACGAAATCTGTACAGGCATTGGTTTGTATACTTGCACACAGACAAGTGCGTACGAACGCTACACAAACATAGCTATGCATGGAGGTGTAATTTATAGCATTTACTAATCAATGATACTCAAATGGCCACTTTTCGGAGGTCTATAGTGTACGTATCCTCAACGAGATTGGTCCTCAAGTTCATTGCGCGCGCATGTGCTGCACGGCCTTGGTAAACGTTCCCATTAGCTCCTTCGTATTTTTTTGAAGCTACCTCGCATTTATTTAAATAACCTTACTTTTAATTGATACACTTTGTATTTTATGTTTATTTTTGAAGGACTTTATATTGCTTCCCTCGCATATATCTGTATAAAGAATTTTTATATTGCTTCCCACGCAAATATGTGTATAATCTTCATATAAATTGACCCACTTTATATAATGTATATTTTGAAAGACTTTATATTGTTTGCTGCACATATATACTTGTATAATCTTCATTCAAATTGACCCACTTCATATAATGTTTATTTTGAAGGACTTTATATTGTTTCCTTCGCATATATTTGTATAATCTTCATTCAAATTGACCAACTTTGTATTTTATGTTTACTTTGAAGGATTTTAAATTGTTTCCTTCGCATATATTGGTATAATCTTCATTTAAATTGACCCACTTTGTATTTAATGTTTATTTTGAAGGACTTTATATTGGTTCCCTTGTGTACTTTGATACAACCATCATTTGTATTGACAGACCTTGTATTACATCCTTTGTTATGTTTATTCCATATACCCTTTCTTTCTCAAAAAGGTTTATTCACTCCGATGCAAATTTTATCGTCTCTTGTGTCCGACCCACTGCAATAATACTGCATATCTGAACCTGCCTTTCGATAAAGTACGAACCCGCCTGTGGCTTTATGTATGCGCCTACTAATGTTTCACATTAAGTCTGACCCTGCCTTTCGAGAAGGTACAAAATCTGCCTGTGCGTTTTCGTGTGTGCATCCTATTGGCTCATATTAGTGTACCTCCAGCACGATGCCAGTGTTGGCCTGTAGCGCAGTTTGTACCCATGACTACCCTCAATTACAACTAGTTGGGTTTGGATCCTTATTGATAAACGAGCAGGAGCTTGCGAGGGCTACCGTCCTTGGGAAGTTTGACCCCTACAACTGTCCTCGATACGATACGATACGATACGCCTCGCTGTTTGCTGCCAGAGCACGGGATGAACACAGTCTTCGTATGATCACATATGCTAATCGGTTGTCCACCTTCTGCATGAATATACCTTATCACTGCAGGTCGAAAGGTATAAGCGAGGAGGCGAACGAGCGCTTCAATGCCCACTACTCCGCAATGGTATGAACAACTCAGACGTGCGGTGGTTTGGGTGTCAAAGCTGATATCAGCTCTTTGGCTGTGGCAGAGTATATATGTGTTTCATTGTGTGTTGTGGGTATTTGGTTCATAGTAGTGTGTCTCGGGATGTGAGATCCCGAGGGATTGACGGTATCCCTCCGGGGTAGGAGAGGTGGTTTTTTTTAAGTATGTTGATTGACTCTGGCCTTGTATAATTGGCTTTCTCTATGTCCCTCTGGGGTAGGAGAGATGATTTGGTTTTAGTGTGTTGATTGACCCTGGCCTTGTATAATTGGCTTTATCTATCGTGAATGTTGTGGGGTGTCTATAGCCTTTGGGATGGAACTCGTACCCTTTTAGTTTAAAATTAACAAACCACATAGCGTTCAGAATGAACCATAATTTGAAGTATGCTTTCACCCCGCACACTACCAGTGTGCATGTATTGACACCACGTGTTTCTCGCTGGCGAGATAGTCGCGTGTTCAACGCGTCACACAGAGTTTTCCGAAATGCAATCAATGCAGAGCTGTGGTCATGTGCACTCGTAAGTTCATGCACAATATAACGTACTCATCCTATCTATTTTCTCTGTCTCTGCTGTTGCTTGTTTTTCTCTCAGACGCGTAAGGATGCTACTCCCCCAACCCCCGCGTCACACGACCGACGAAGTAGTATGGACGCTGCAATTAATCGAGCCGCAGACGTGCCAAAGTTACAGCTAAGTGAGAGAGCATGCTCAGAACTACCTAGGCCGTCCGCGAACCCAAATGTAGGGCAATTGTCGTACGCGCAGGTTGCGGATCCGACCCTTGCCCAGTCGCCGAACTCGGAACCCTCGATGAGAGCTATCATCACACGTACGACAAGTATCACATCCATCAAATACAATCCCTCAATCGAGTACCTCACCGCGCCGTTCAGCACGGGCCACTTTGTCCCGTCCGAAGGGTTCTTTACCGATGACGAGGGCTCGCACGAGGGCTGTGTGCAGTCCCAAAGTTTTGGGACCAGGACAGTACACATGGGCGTTCAGGATTCATTAATGGGTTTAAACTCGCACGAGGGGGACGATGCTTGTGTGGATCGCGCTGTCGGCAAGGACAGTAGTCGAAGTCATAGACATAGCAACAGTGTGAAACCACGAGGCGTGACGGATTCCAGCATGTCGATGCAGCGCATATCCAGCTACACGTTTGGCAAGGAAGGCGATGAGAAGTACAGCATGGAATCGCACGACGACTACGGGAAACCCGGCACGAGCTCGGGTACTTGGAACGGGACCACAGGCATGCGCACCAATAGCTTCAGAAACGCGGTCCAGGCCCAGGCTGTGAAGTCTGAGTACCTGTCCGTAGCCAACCGAGAGGTCACACCCGGCCCTATGCCCAAGAGAAAGGGCCGCTTTTCGGTGACGCCCAAGCTGGATCTGCCCAGATCCCCGCCGCTCTCGCCCAGACGGACACTGAGTGAGCAGGCCACGTCAATGGCCAAAAACAGCAACAGTACGGGCACCATGACCATCAGAGCTCGTCCCGGGAGCGCCAGGAAGTTCAAGGTCAGTCCGGTGGTTGCCAAGGATACCACACAGTGTGCGGGCGGTACGAAGAAACTAGGATTCCCAGTAATGCCGGATATGAACCGCGCGCATACGTCGCAAACGCCGACGCGTATGACGCTGAGCAAAACGCTGGACGCGGAACTGGGCGTCGCAAATGGCGTGGACGGCGCAGATAGCGGGGATAGGATCGTACAAGTACCACAAGTACAACGGAATACACATGCACTGCCTGTACGCCCGGCTCTGAACTCCCATGCATCTGCATTGGATGACGCGTTTAATCGCCCGAGCCCGACCCAGAATCAGAACCAGAACCAGAACGACCGGGTTTCTACCAGAACCCTAGCCAAGAACACGGGTTTGGAATCCACTTCGCCTACACAACGGGGTGCGGCGAAGCGACCGCCGTCACCGCTGCGGCTGAAGGTGTCCGCAGAATACGACTACAACGATATACACAGCCCTCAGACACCCTCAGACATTCACATGAACAAGACCACCGACAGCCGGCAAGACCCATCCATTACGCCGCGGATACTAGAGCACGCTCCGAGCACCGAAAACGTGACCATCGACGTGACCAAATCCCTTAATACAACGCTGTCACCTCGGCTGTGGGACGGGCGGGAGATCCCGGTCGAACAGGACAAGAGCCCTTCGAGGAAGACCAAGTCCCACTCGCGCCGACATAGCACGGGAAAGGCATTCAAAGGACTGGTAAAGCTGGCCAGGAGCGCGTCGGCTTACACCGGGGTAGGCAGCAGCGGGAATATGACTACCGGAAGCCCCCACACAGCCAAACGCACGAACAGTGATCTCGACAATACCACGGTACAGGTACCGGAGGGTAGCATAAATGGCACGGGCCAATGGGAATCCAAGGATGTTAAAAGTACGCGGGAGACGGACTGGCGGCGGCGGTCGAGTGGGACCGATGTGTTTGAGTCCAAGGCGACACTTCGGAAACAACCCGTGAGAAGAACAAGCGAAAGGGACAAGGATCGTTCATGGGGACGTTCGTATCAACAAATCTTTTCTCCTTCAAAGTGGGGCAAATCCGGCTGGGGTAGCCTGCAGAATGTCAATCCGGCGGATAAAGACAGCGCGCAGTCACGCACCGATTCTATAAATAGAAAGGACAGTCATAGCGATGAGGAAGGGGAAGCGGCAGCGGAAGCGGGGGAGGCCACGGAAGGCAGTGAGGGCAACGCAAACGCACGGGACTCAATGGAGGCGGTCTTGTTACCACCAGAACAACCCACACCAGGTACACCGTCGGGGTTGTCGGTAGGCAGGCGAAATAGCGATCTGCATCTGGCCACAACACCGAAGCACACGCGTGTGCCGGTGAAGGGATTGATGCGCTCGGACAGTGACTCTGGCGTGCTCGGCGCGAGTCGGTTAGACGTTTCGAGAGATATCAGTGAAGAATCGACCACAGACACTGACACCAGTCTTCCGAGAAATACGAAGTGGAGGTTGATTCAAACACGGCTGCGGGCCTTTAAAGGGTCTAGCTCAACTTCATTCAGGGCACAGGTTGACCGTAACAATAGCACGAATTCATCTGTAGATAAGATTCACTCGCTACCGAACCGTACGATGGTATATCCACTGGAAAGCCGTGGTACGAAAATTCCAACAGAGATGCGGCATTCGCGGGAGAGATCGAAGGATGGAGATAAGGGGCACAAGGATGATAACTATGCATCCGATAACAGGATGAGTAAGCTGTTTAGGTCCAAATCATCATCGAATAGTACGAAGGAGGGAGAAGTGCAGGAGAATGGAAGAGACCGAGGAGCTCAGGATGAGAAACAGAAGAATTCATAGCGCAGTCTAACATATAGCACGTTGCTACATGCATTATAATTTATATATATATATATACCTATATATATTTTATATGTATATGTATATGCATATGTATATACTTAACAATACGTAGCCTCGGTGCGAAAAATGGGCGCGGGGGAGTGGTGCTGGACACTAATAATAAGATACACAGACTAGTAACCTGACAGGTTAGATCATAATTTAAAAGCACGTTGAATTGCGCAGATGTCTGCGCCGGCGATGCTTGTCTATAAGATAAACAGATTTTGAGTATGTCCCTTTGTTCTATTTTTCGGCCAGGAGGCTTTATGCCAACTAAGCATGGTTCCTTCGTTCCTTGCATTGGAAGGGACATGTGGGTACGAGTAACCATTCCCAGATTACGTTTTGTTGGCTCAACTAGTTTAATACGCTTAACATCAATCCGGCAACGCGGCACAGTCGCCCGCAGGTATAATTGACTATTACACGGCTTTTTAAGGTTTATGGTTAGGGTTTACGGCATGTGCGATCGGCCTTCGAAGTATTTGTACGGGTTTGTCGCGGTTCACCCGTTTCCCCGAGCCCTATATATCAGTAGTACTTTTAGGGTTTAGGGTTTACCAGCAGTTGTGCTCAGAAATATCGTATCACTGAACATTTATGTACGTTTATTGTACAATCCGGATCAAAATATCACATTTCATACACATCCGCAAAGCTGTAGAGGCAGTAGGCACATGGCTAAACGGTACACGCGTGCCGTCTGCGTCTGTGTCTGACAATGGTATATGCTACCTGCAGCTCGGTTTTATAAACGTAGGGCAGTACGTTCAACGGACTCAAGACACCCTGAGTCCCTGACTAAATTCAAGACTACACAGCATGACCCTCTAGAGAATAAATGAAATAATATGCCTGATCGGACTATTGCTCGAAGGACTGCACACTCACAGTCTACACTTTCGTTCGCAAAACCAACCCGCTTCAACGTAAATATGTATTCACAACAAGGCCTCCGTAAATTTGACACTATCCAAACCGTTTCAAAGTATGTATTTATGTATTTCAAGGCTGTATGACAGTACAAAACTCAAAACTCAAAGACTGGATATAGCCCATAGCCCTCTACATTGAACAACAAGACTATGCATAGCCTTGTTGTCCAATGTAGAGGAGGGCTATACATAGCCTTCTTGTTCAATTTAGAGCAGGGCTATGGACTGGGGGTCCGGGGAGAAAAAGGTCGTCCTATTTTGCGAAAGCCCGCCAAAAAGAATATCCCACGGGACATGTCATGACTCATGGGTCCACGTTCACATTCTGGTGTCAAAATAAAATTAAACTAAAATATCACACAATTTCACAGTTAAAACACTATGTATCAGACTATCAGTGCATAGAAAAATTCAACAAACTCTGTAATATGGTTTATCCCTTAGACAGCAGCTAAATACAGAGACATATTTGCTTATAACTATGCGCTTATTGGCTATTGATCTCGTATGTACGTTTGACATATAGTTATAATATAGACCCCCAAGTTCACACACATTGAAACGCACACTAAAAGGAACAAGCGGGCACACGATATTGTCCTTCGCGCAGATACGCAATGAGCTCAGCAAAGCTAAGGCTAGGTTTTGGCTTTGAATCGCACGTACACAGCAGTCTTCCCAGACTGTGTGTGCGATCAATACACAGTTTGACCCGGACACCAGCTAGTACGAATACTATATCGCGATGTGAGGCTTTGCGTAAAAACATATCGCGTTTCCATGGAAAATATTCGGAGCCGATCTCTGGCACAACCCTTGGTCCATCCAGAATAGCCGTACGAAGCTTCCACCCGAGTGAACGAGAAGCTCTTGAACTCCAAAAGAAAGAGAATAAAAACCAAGCACCCGTCAAGGGTAGTATAGGTGGATTAGGTGTTGGAGTGGGTGGGGGCGTTGATAGCCTGCGTTTTCTAGATCGAGTAGGGAATGAACCGTGTAAGGGATGTGGTGCTACATTTCAGTGCGATGCCCCTGGGGAAGTGGGGTACGTGCCTGAAAATAAACTATTTCCCCCCGCAGAGACGGAGGTGAATAATAAATACTCGCAGAAGAGGAAAGTGGAGGATTTGAACGCAGAGTTTAAGGACCTGGGTTTGGATAGGTATTTATCCTTTGGA